TAAAAATACACAAGAAAAAAATTTAAAATAAATAATTAAACAGAGTATCCGAAAATGAAGGCGACACACTGTCATCCGCTTTCTGGCAGCTGCTAACAAGTATCATTTTTATAGATGGTTTGTCACAGATGGTCCAACAGATGTCTTTCTGGTCTTTAGCGAGTGTGTGTATGTGCGTGTATCTGTCTGTATGTGTGTGTGTGTGAACAAATATCATAGATGTGCTCCTTGTCAATCGTTACGCTGTCAACCAGGGCCTTGAGTGTACTCTTTATAAAACATAAAGCCAAAGTACTTGAGCGTGTAAATGAGGGTTGAAATCTGAGCATTGTGTCTGTCAGGCAGACACAAAGAGAGAGAGAGAGAGAGAGAGAGAGAGAGAGAGCGAGAGAGAGAGAGAGTGAGGGGCTTTCTCTTGGGGTCGGGTTCTGATGAGCATCATTAGTGAATGCAAACCAAGGCAGAAAGACAGCTAGCATGGCTTTTCTTGGGAATAAAACTTGGCATGCCAAAAAGAGAAATATGAATTCCTTGAGAGGATAAAAATGTGTGTGAAAGCAGTGTGGAGCTGATGCCTCTGCACTGATTATTGGCTATTTTTGGAACACTAGTGTACTACATACTGCCAATTAATAATAAAAAAAGCATAGGAACAAGTATGCAGTATATAACCAAAGTATGCTATGTTGCATGATTTATTCAGCAATTTCTGTCAACTTTTTGTTTTTCCATCACAATCCCGGAATCATTTTCTTTTTTTAATGTTTTTTTTTTTGTTATTTATGTTATAAAGATGTACAATAATAATAATTATATTTATATATATATATAATAATAATTATATATATATATATATATATATATATATATATATATATATATATATATATATATATATATATATATATATATATATATATATATACACACACAATATAACATTTATAAAGGCGTCATGGTGGTACAGTGGGTAGCACGATGGCCTCACAGCAAGAAGGTCGCTGGTTTGAGCCCCGGCTGGGTCAGTTGGCATTTCTGTGTGGAGTTTGCATGTTCTCCCCGTGTTCACGTGGGTTTCCTCTATATTCCCTCTACATGACTGATCAGACGTGAGACGTTCTTTTCTCTTTCGATCTCCACACAATCCAAAGACATGCACTATGGGTGAATGGGGTATATGCATAAGCATATAAGCATGCTAATAGGACTTTTAATATGCCAGTAACCTGGGTTAAGCGCTTCCGGCGAATTGAATGCCAATGCAAAATCCGGTGCGTTTAAGGTCTGTTTTCTTTAAAAATCAGCGATCTCCACTAGCTGAGTGATATCCGATTTAAAGTGGGTCTCAGATTGTACAAGAAGCACTGCACTAAATTACATTTCCCCCGCCATATCTTTATAATATGAGCATTTATTTTACCCCAGTATATTCAATGGAGCTTCTGCGTTAGCCTGTCGATTCTGACGGGCGCGTGCGAGTAAACGGCTTTTTGTCTCGTTTTACGCTTGAGCAACTAAATAAATGCTAAAGTTTATTTAACTGAATGTATTTTAATGACATTACCACATCGATGCTGTATAAGGAACCGTATAAAATGGTAAAAAGTTCACAATAACAGGTCACCGGAAGTGTCTCAGCATGGGAACTGCATTAGCTCGGCATTTACCCTATAGGGTAATCTAAATTGGCCGTAGTGTATGTGTGTGTGCTGTAGAGAGTGTGTCTGTGTGTGTTTCTCAGTGTTGGGTTTTGGCTGGAACACATGCTGGATAAGTTGTCGATTCATTCCACTGTGGCGACCCCTGATTATTAAAGGGAATAAGCTGAAAATAAAATAAATAAATGAATAATATTTATAGGCAAGGCAGTGGCGTAGTAGGTAGTGCTGTCGCCTCACAGCAAGAAGGTCGCTGGTTCGAACCTCGGCTCAGTTGGCGTTTCTGTGTTGAGTTTGCATGTTCTCCCTGCGTTCGTGTGGGTTTCCTCCGGGTGCTCCGGTTTGCCCCACAGTCCAAAGACATGCGGTGCAGGTGAATTGGGTAGGCTAAATTGTCCGTAGTGTATGAGTGTGTGTTTGTGAATGTGTGTGTGGATGTTTCCCAGAGATGGGTTGCGGCTGGAAGGGCATCTGCTGCGTAAAAACTTACTGGATAAGTTGGTGGTTCATTCCACTGTGGTGACCCCGGATTAATAAAGGGACTAAGCCGACAAGAAAATAAATGAATGAATGAATAATATTTATAAATAAATAATATATATATATATATATATATTATACAAAACATTATTAAAAAAATGTGCTGTCTTTAAAGTAAATATAGAGGATTTCAGTTACCCCCTCCAACATATGGCCCAGGACAAAATGTCTGCTTTCCCGCCAAATCTGGCCCTGCTCATATAGTATATAATTCAATAAGAAAGTAATGGTGCTGTGTATATCAGTAAAGCAGACATGGAGACAGAAAGAGAAGAGAAAAAGAGAACGTCTCACGTCTGATCAGTCATGTGGGGGGAATCAGCGTGGGCCCTAATGAGCTTACCGAAGCAACTTCAATATCCTCCGATGTCATGTTGAAATGAAAATTAATAGTTCAATATGGCTCCACGCAAATGCCACGCGTCTCCCGTAACCCATATCATGTGGCGTGACCAAATGAGTGTATTCTAATAGATGTAGGCAGAGGAGAAAAGCTGATATCTTCAGTAATCAGGGCTTTTGAAAATTACCATTAAATGGAATTCAGGGATGGATGGAAAAGAAAGAGGCGGAGATGAAAAAAAAAAAAACCTAAAGACATGGAATGAACATCTTTACCCCATAATGTGCTCATGTCTTTCCCACAGGCTGCGAGCTAGTCACCGCAAGCTTGAGTTACCATGCGCACCAGTCAAATTGGGCCTTGAATTACTTTCCTGTTCAGTCTAAACTAAGGTTCTGTCTCAGATGGTGCCCTTGACCATCGGAGACGGCCTATAAGTCCATACTTTCACAAAGTAATTTGGGCTTTTGCAAAGAAAGCTAATTTTATTTTAAAATTAAGTTTAGTAAAAAGATTTAAGTTTAGGAATGTTTTAGAAAAAAATCTCGATCCATATACAGTATGACCTAAAATGCAAGATATGTGACTATTCAAGCTCACTAGGTATGCGCGTATCTTGTTGTCATAGGTGGCGTATCGAAATTTGTCCTATGAAAGTGTCTTGACGAAATAGGAATCGAAATGTAACAATCTAGAAGACGCATCAGAAAGCCAAGCCTCATGCATCACTGGCATTTTCTAGTGTTCTGCATTTTCAAAACGCTTCATTTCTTAGCAGGACAATGATAGACGGAGTAGTGTGAATGGCAGTCGAAACTGCAGTATAAACAGCAGGTCAGTTCTAGGAACTAGCCATAAAGATATTCCTCAAAGAACTACAACATTCAAGCTGGCCGTCAATGTCTTTCAGCTCGCCATTCAACAATGTCAAAAGCAGACAATGTGATCTTGTTTTGTTGGAACTTTACAAATACTGTGCTGGGATCACTTACAGTACACAATTGCTAGATTCATATTGTGTTGGGTTGAAGCTAATTTAGTCCAGCAAAAGGCGGTTTAATGAATAAATTTGTTCCTAGTTCCTGTGGTTATAACATGCTAACAAAAAGGGGTTCCTCTGCAAATGGTTATAGGAACTAGCGCTGCACAATCCACAATTTAAGCATTGATATCGCAATATGAGCTTGTAGATTAATAGCAAGGTTTAACTATTATGGATTTAAAGATTATTAATTTTTTTTTTTTTTTTTCTCGTAGACATATCAAGTGAATTAAAAATATTCGGGCACAAGACAAAAGAAGATTTTTATAGTGAAGACTGTCATTTTACATCAGATTTTTAAACATTTGTGTCCAACTGCCATTAGGACTTACCAGACAAATATAAAACACTTTTTTGTAACTCTCATTTGTATGGTTTTTCAACCCTAAAAATTTAGTTTTAAGAGTTCACACTTAGCAATTCCTTGATATTAGTTGCAGGTTTGGCATGCTGTGCTGGGAGAGAACCCTAAGTTTAGAGATACTTGAGCCCAGGACTTCATCTGATTGGTTTATCGGTGATTGTTGATGCGAGATCAGCCGCGATTAATCATAGCATGTTCATTCATTCAATCATTTATTCATTTTCAACCGATTTTTGACTCCCGGCTCGCGAGGTCTTAGGAGAGAACCCCAGACTTCCCCCTCCCCAGACACTTCCTCCAGCTCCTATAGGGTGATCCTGAGGCGTTCCTAGGACAGCCGAGAGATCATAGTCCCTCCAGCATGTCCTGGGTCTTCCCTAAGGCTTCGCACGGTGGGATATGCCTGGAACACCTTCCTAGGTAGGCGTCCAGAAGGCTTCCAAAACAGATGCCCAAACCACCTCAGCTGACTTCTCTCAATGTGAAGGAGCAGCGGCTCTACTCCGAGCTCCTCACCCTATGTATAAGGGTGTGTCCTGCCACCCTGCGAAGGAAACTCATTTCGGCCGCTTGTATCCGAGATCTTGTACTTTCATTCATGACCCAAAGGAACGTAGGTTGACCGGTGAATCGAAACATAGCATGTGATGCTCTGAAAATTAGTTTCTAAAACTTCACTTAAAGTTAATTTTAATAATTTATGCAGATGCACGCCACATTATGCCCCAGACATTCTGAAATAGTAAATTCTTCACAATAAGATTTTTTCAATCCATCTGGTGATATATATTTCATATCACAGTACATATCGCTCAAAACCAAAATATTGCAATGTCAATTGTTTCCAATATCTTGCAGCTCTAACAGGAACTGTGAAAACATTCTTCTGGTGTGCATGTTGCTTGAATGTACATTGCTGTTTTTGTCCCCTAGTATACTTTGAAGTCCAAACCAGTTTGCGCACTAAAGAAGACCACAAGACTGAACCATTTGGGACAAACTCAAATCAAGTTCAGCAACAGGTAAAAACCAAAACACATCATCTTCACTTACCTCCCATCCATAAGTGGTCTCTTTTACCGTCGCACTCTGCAGTCCGTTGTATGGTCCGAAGCGCTCTCCCATCCGAATTTTGACTTTAGCCCAGATTCCGAGGCCAGCACCTGGAACGGACGACTCGCGGAGCTCCAGGTCAGCAGGGATGGGAATATCATCGGGAATGTAGACGGGCACCTCATAGGGTGAGCCCTCTTTAGGAGTGAAGTCCTCGTTGCAGGGCTGAGGGGATGCGGGACCCACCGCAACTGGGGACATGATGCTGTCTTCTGTCTCCTCTTCCGCGCTCTCACCGGTAACAAGATTGGGTTCTGTGTCGTACATGCTGTCTACTGCCTCGCTGTCATCTGAAACGCAACAAGGAGATATTTGCATTACATTGCAGAACAACAAGCAATAAATCTAAAACTAGAGCATAACTAGAATTCCCAACTGTCCCAGCCGGGAGTTGAACCAGCAACCTTCTTGCTGTGAGGCAACAGTGCTAACCACTGAGCCACTGTGTGCCACAGAACGCATTTCCAATTGACCAATTTAAACCAAACCATTCATTTTACAGTTGCTCATTATATCGAGACATTCAGTGATCTGTGAAAATGAGCTGGCAGAACCAGAAAACAGACACTTGAAGGATTCGAGGTTGATCTTCTGTAACTATCTGGCGCAGGGACAATCCCATCTACTTTATAGTCGCCGCCATTTCCTGTCTGATCATTTTACAAATAATGGTAGCAAATGACCCTTTGGCCTGACTCCACTGCCAGCCATCTATGTTTATTGTCACTCTTTGCTTGACAGCGTAATTATGGTACTTATCATTCATGCCAGCAAAAACGAACGACTCTGATTGCTAAAAATAGCTCCTGTTTCTCTGCAGTAGTTTCGCATGTATCGCAAAGCACACAAATGGCAAATAAGCCATTTAACGCCATGCAAGGATCAACAAGTCTTGGAGAGATTATGAGCAATTCCAGCATTGTGCATGTGACATTTGCAGTAAAAACTCAAAACAGGAATTCACAAAGAAGGTATATGTTAACATTATATCAAAACATCTGTTTATATTTTACAAAACAACTAACCACAAAGTTTTGGGATAAGAAAAATAGGAATTTTTATTTTAAATGAGGAAAATAAACATGCGTTATGGATGCAAACCAAAAAGTTTTGCGTATTTACAGTATACAACATACTCTGCAGAAATTCTTTGAATTAAACTGCACAACCCTCAAAAAATAATGCTAATCAGAAGGATAGGAGTTGCTCTCTATTAGGGGTATAATAGATCATGGTTGATCCGTGATTCGTATGGATTCTCAACTCAAAGTTCGGAACACACGTGACCCTCAGATTAATAAATTATAGTTTTACTTTTCTAAATTTGTAACAATCACAGAGAAATCACCTCTCACATAACTCAAATCACACGTATGAAAGCATTTCGGCTTTTCTGTAAAATGTAATGATGAGAGAAGGAGTCATGTTAGGTTATTCAGGATGTAGTGGGTTATTAAAGGGGTTTTCTATCACTACTTGTTTAGCCTGCATAATTGGATTCAGTGTAAGCTGCACAATTAATCATTAAAAGTTCAGGATCTCAACACCCACGCAACATAAATTATAAATGATGGTTATTTGCATATGTTTATTAATCCTTCGAATTGCTGCATTTAAATCTGTGTTTGAAAAACACAAAAAAGCACCTAAAAAGCACTACAGGTGGCTAAATGAGGAGTGTCTTGCTAAAAAGTCAATTAAAAGTTTTGCCTGTGACACTCAATATTATAGCTAGCAACAGCTAAGTACAATTTTAGAGTTGTATGCAGCTGTTACACCATATGAAAAAACATCACAAAGGCACCAGGAGATAACTAACGCCATAACTCACTATTGTTTGCCGTAGAGAATAATTAGTGTTTAATTTCTGAATATTTACAAACAAATTTAAATAAAAATCGTAATCAAAATTTTAATCAAAGTTGGAGTTAGTTAATATCTTTTCAGTTCCTTTTTTTAACTAACAGTCACTGCATTTTAGCAGTAAGAAGCTATGATACAAAATATTAAGTTGAAGCTACAAAATTAAATCACGATTAAAAAAATAATTAAAAAAATAATAATAAATAAAAATCACAATTAGATGTTTTTCTCAAATCGCACAGACATAGTTTAAACACACTGACAGAGACATTTTGGAATATGTTTAAAGTACTGTACAATACTTGCTTACACTAACAATTTAGAAACAATTTCACTATTTAGGAAATATAAAACTCTATTTTTTTATGGTAAGGTTGACATTTGCAATTGAATTGCTCTTATGCAAACCAACTGAGCCAAACTCAATCTCCCCTCTAAGACAAATCTTGACACATCGCTCACCTGCAACAGTGTTCTAAAATTCCCTCTCATGTGGTTTAGTGGTAAATGGTTTTGATCAGTCTCCATGACAACAACAATGCAGGTATACGCATGGATGGGCTTGCTCTAATTTGTAGCAGCACCACTGCAGTTTGCTATCCAAACACAGGACCAGCAATCAGGGCTAACTAGGCCGCAATTACACCAGGAGTGCTTCCAATCAACCAGACTCAGCCCCCCTGCCAGCACTGCCAAGAACAAGTTTATGTCTCCAAACTGTTTTCTCTCACATTCAGGCACTGTTTACGTATAAAAAGCCATGAATAAGTATAAATTGTAGTTACTGCCGAATTGGCTTCAAGTCAAACAACAGCGCTTTCACAAAGACGGTTAGGAGGTACTGTAGGAAGAAAGAATATGAGAGAGTCAAACATTCACCAACAAAAAAACCTCACTGTAAAAAATGCTGGCTTCCACACACACGATTTTTGTTGGGGCAACTTGAAGGATTTAAGTTAACTTAGTTTTTACAAATTAAAGTGGATTGAACATAAAACAGTTATGTACAATTACGTGCATCCGGAAAGTATTGATAGCGCTTCACTTTTTCCACGTTTTTTTATGTTTCAGCCTGGATTAAGTTCATTTATTTCCTCAAAGTTCTACACACAATACCCCATAATGACAATGTGAAAAAAGATTTTTGAAATCTTTGCTAATTTATTAAAAATAAACATGTACATCAGTATTTACAGCCTTTGCTCAATACTGGTGTTGATGCACCTTTGGCAGCCATTACAGACTAAAGTCTTTTTGAATATGATGCCACAAGCTTTGCACACCTGTATTTGGGAATTTTTGCCCATTCCTCTTTGCAGTACCTCTCAAGCTCTATCAGGTTGGATGGGAAGTGATGGTGTACAGCCATTTTCAGATCTCTCAAGAGATGTTCAATAGGATTCAGATCGTGGCTCTGGCTGGGCCACTAAAGGACATTCACCGAGTTGTTGTGAAGCCACTCCATTGATATTTTGGCAGTGTGCTTTGGATCATTGTTCTGCTAGAAGATGAACCGTCGCCCCAGTCTAAGGGTAAGAGCACTCTGAAGCAGGTTTTCATTCTGTACATTGCTGGCATTCACTCCAAAGAGTTCAATTTTAGTCTCATCAGACCACAGAATTTTGTTTCTTATGGTCTGAGAGTCCTTCAGATGGCTTGGGGCAAATACTAGGTGGGGAGTGCCTTCCATCTGGCCACTCTACCATACAGGCCTGATTGGTGGATTGCTGCACAGATGGTTGTCCTTCTGTAAGATTTTCCTCGCTCCACAGAAGAACGCTGGAGCTCAGACAGAATGACCATCGGTTTATTGATCACCTCCCTGACTAAGGCCCTTCTCACTCAGCTTAGATAGCCGGCCAGCTCTAGGAAGAGTCCTGGTGGTTCCAAACATCTTCCACAAATGGATGATGGAGGTCACTGTGCTCATTGGAACTTTCAGAGCAGCAGAAAGTTTTCCGTAACCTTCCCCAGCCTTGTGCCTCGAGACAATCCTGTCTTGGAGGTCTACAGACAATTCCTTTGTCTTCATGTTTTGTTTTGCTTTTGCACTGTCAACCCTGGGACCTTTTATAGACAGGTGTATGCCTTTTTAAATCATTTCCAATAACTGAATTTACCACAGGTGAACTCCAATTAAGCTGCTGAAACATCTCATGAATGATCAGTGGAAACAGAATATACCTGAGCTCCATTTAAAGCTTCACTGCACAGGTTGTGAATACTGATGTACATGTGATTTTTCAGGTTTTTTATTTTTAATAAATTTGCAACAATTTCAAAAACTCGTTTTTCACATTGTCATTATGGGGTATTGTGAATAGAACTTTGAGGAAATAAATTAATTTAATCCATTTTGAAATAAGGCTGTAACTTAAAAAAATGTGGAAAAAGTGAAGCGCTTTACTTTCTGGATGCACTGTTATATATATATATATATATATATATATATATATATATATATATATATATATATATATATATATATATATATATATATATATATATATATATATATCAGCCTCTGACTGAAATGTTCTTTCTATCGACATTACAAGAATGTAACAAAAGCATTCTTTTAACAACGTTACATGCTACCATTTACACAACTTTTAAGAAACCATAAGGATATGGTAAAAGTAATCCAGATCGAGCTGTTTTAACGTGTCCTTTAAAACATTAAAAGATTTAGATCGATTAAGGTTTTTCCTGATGTAAACATTGATCAATAAATATAAAGCACATCAACATAGAAGTTGTGATAATGTTGCTTAACACATGAAAGTTACCAGAGCTTCTGCAAAGAGATTTGTTCCTTAAACATGAACAAAGGCATTTACTCAAAAAATGTTTGCTGCTTGTTTAAACTACTTTTTTATAATGCTTTAAAATTTGATCTTTGGGGGGGAAACTTAATTGTTTTATGTTCAATCCACTTAAATTTGTAAAAAAAAAAAAAACATAAAAATTAAGTGAACCTAATTAACGTATTGGGACAAAATACAGAAATTGTTTGGAACAAAGTGTTTTTTACAGTAAGTTTTTTTTTTTTGGTTTGAAACATCATAAGGGGTCAATAATTAATGACAGAAATGTCATAATTGGGTAAATTATAGGCTACCTTTTTAATGTTAAGCTGTTTTTAGTTCCCATGGCAACATTCATTCATTTTCCTTTCGAATTAGTCTCTATTTCAGAGGTCACCACAGCGGAATGAACCGCTAACTATTCCACAAAACAGTTTTTTACACAGTGAATGCCCTTCCAGAATCCAGTCCATAGCGCATTTTTTTGGACTGTGGGGGAAACATATGAAGAACATGCAAACTCCACACAGAAATGCCAACTGGCTCGAACCAACGACCTTCTTGCTGTGAGGTGACAGTGCTAACCACTGAGCCACCATGCCGCCCCCATGGCAATATAT